GAGCTCACCCTAACGAAACCGAGTAAGAGCCCACCCTAACGTTTGGAGTGGCTCTGCCACTGCATATCTAACAATGTAATTTCACACTTAGATGTAAAAATTGTTATTAGATAATAGCAACTTTAATATAGTTTTGTACACTGAAGCCCAATACTCATTTTCATTCTTCGTTCTAATACACCATAGTTGTTCCTTTATCTCTCTCTCTTCGTTCTCCTTATCCATTTAATCTGCAATAGCAAATCTAACATGTTATCATAGCAGGACTGATCTAGGACGTGTGATGATTTTCTCTGTGCTAACCGAGTCCGATCTGGGACAACTAGAGAAGGATTCACAAGAAAGGAGACGCGTTTGAATATCGTTTATGAATTGTCCCACATTGATTCAATAGAGAAAATATGACTAATTTATAGGTGTAGTGAGCTACTCCTCCTATTACCAATTTGTTTTGAGATGGAATCTCTCTCTTCCTTCGAATGTGTAACTCATGACATGTTCTAAATTTGATTTTTTCCCCAAAAAGATTTTATATAATCTAAAATTGAAAAAAAAAATTATACAAATTTAAATTTTTTTCACCATTCTGATACTCAGCCTGATCCTGCCCGACGTGTTCGCCCGAGACTCGATCGACTAGGGGTCGGTACCAGGTCAAATACGGTCAACTTGGCCTTGACCTGGCCGACTAGGATATTGTACCGACTGGGTCAAGTCGGGTTGATCAGCCATTATTTTTTTTCATCTTTTTCAATTTTGAAATACAATAATGTATATATATTTATGTGGAATATATTTATGAAAAAAAACACAATATTAATAAAATTTTAGGTAAAATTTTTTAACTACAATTGTAAGATAAAAATAATGAGTCTAGTTGGGATCCAATCAAGTTCAATTATTGATCAGAACTTTTACTAATTACGATTTTACATTTTTCTTAGAAATTATATTATGACCAGTTAGTAATTATCATTTACTATAAAAATTAATAAAAAAATAGTTGTCAAAGTTACCAAAAGTTGTGGCAATTGAATAGGAAGTTTATTATAGCAAATTGTTTTGGTCCAACCATGTGACTCTTGTTTTTCAATTTATGATGTTTGTAAACTCTTGTCCGCTTGAATTATATATATAAATAATCTTTGTTTTATTTTTTTTTTATCTTATCTTATTAACAAATGTTTGGTCAACCCACTTTTTAAGCTTTTTGGATCAACAAAAAAATGCAATCTTGCACGGCAAAGATGCACCAGATCCCATGCACAGATTTGTCATTTGTCTACTAAAATTTTCTAAAAAAAATGCCTTGTAATCTCAATAAATAACCAATTGCACTCTAGCTCAATTTATTTATTTTTTTTGTTATTTTTTTTTTTCAATTTGCAAATTTTAAGGACTTGATTGTTTATGAAATAATTTGTTCAAAATGAGTTATTTTGGTTAACCATAGTTAATTTTGAAAAAGTAGTATGGTTAGTTATTAGTGGAATTTTAAAAATGTATTAAAATAATATTTAAAATAAAATGATTAAAATTGATTTGATGTAAAAGTAAGAGATAAATGATTGGAAATGATAAGTAGTTAAAAATATGTGAGTGGATGAATAGTGAATTAAAGTTGATGTGATATATAAGAATAATTGGTTTATATTATTTAATTATATGAATAATATTAAAGATAGTGGGGTTCAGTTAAAGTTGAGTTAAATTTTGAGTTGAAATAAAAGTGAGTAAATTACTCCATAAACAAACAAGCCCTAAGAAACTGAGGAAAAACGAGTGCGGTCTCATTAACATGAAGCGCACAATGAGAGGGAAAAACGCATATGGAGCCCAAGTAGAGTTCCATCCCAAACCAATTGGTGAAAGAAGAAGTAACCCATTAAACTTATAAAGTGGGTCTATTTTCCATGTATGAACGATCTGAGACAACTCACAAGTGATATTCTAAGACAAATTATACTAAACTTAAAAAAAAAAAAAAGTTCACAATGGGATAACCAACTGCTTGCATAAACTATTTTATCTGCTACAGAAAAAACATTTACATAACTTCAAAAACTAGAAACAAAATTCAACAATAAATGTGTGAAAAACAAACCAAATTCATTTCACCAAATTCAAGTCCAAATTGTTCTTTACAGAAACTGCTTACAAAAACAAACCAAATTTTTCCCAAAATACTCCATTACAAACCAGGAGCTCAATAATCCTTCTACTTATTAAGAAGAAAGAAAAGTTAGCCATAAAGATCCAGTGTTTTGCTCAAGACTCTACATTCTCACTGCTCGAATCGGTTAATATCGTCAACCTTCTCGCGGCCTTCACGAAATCACTGCAAAAAAATAAAACGAAAAAACAAAATATATTAAATCAGACAAAAGCTTCAGAGAATCACAACACCAATAAGGTTACAAATCCAACAAAAAAAAAAAAAAATCACCTATAGGGTACATGGCCAACTCGCTTAACGCAGCCTGATGCCTCCCGATACAGAACATGGTTCTCAATATCCGAAACCTCGACGCCGAACAAATCCGCTAACTTTTGGTACAGTTCCTCATAAGTAGCGATCAAAGAAAGATCCAGAGTTCGTCCAACATCCTCAGATTCCATGAAAACCTTGCACTGACCGGGCTCCTCTGACTGAATTCCTTCACAAGTGGGCCCCCAACTTGGGATTCGGGCCGGCCCAGATCCATCGGATGTATTTCCGTTCTTATCCCCATTACCGTCAGACGAAGAATTTACCGTGTCGCTCGAGTAGCTGCTTACCCTATTCTCCATAACTATCTTCTGCCCGAAAAGTAGAAATGGGGCTTGCTTACCGTCGCTGGATTTTCCCGTTTCTGGAGACTGGCCCATAGTCAGCTGGCACGAAACATTTCCGCCGCTGCAGGGCCCGGGAGTGATCGGGCCAGCCGGTGGAGCCCGGTCAAAGGGAGGATAACCAAAGGGCAAAAAACTCGAATGGATTATGTTTTTGGGGTAGCGGGGATTATTATTATTATTATTATGGTCTGATAGGGATGATAAGCCGTATTGAGCATGCCTGGCTCCCTGCATGCCAGCAGGAGGAGTGTTGTTGCTGTTCAGAAGGCAGTTGCCGCCGCCAAAGGGCCCACCGGAAAACGGTGGCAGAAGGAATTGGGTGTCGAGAGGGTATTCAGGATGGCCCGGGAGTCGAAGTTTTTTACGGGGTTGTGAAAATGGGGAAAGATGGATGGCGGGCATGTTGGATACTATTTCGACAAGCCACGGGCTGACCCGTTTCACGTTCTGAAGCAGATCGGGCTCGTCCCATGCCACCTGAAGTAATTTTTTCTTGAAACTATTAGGGGAATAATAAACTATGATGTGGAAACAGTTAGTTTTCGGTATTAGAGATAGTATTTACTGACAAATATGGTTATTATCGCTCGGAGAAAAAAAAAATCGAGTACATTTAACGAGAAAGCCGAATGCCAGGGATCCAGGAAGGTTTATTCGAGTACATTTAATCGAGTACATTTATCAGAGTACCCCCATTTCCATATACCTCATCTCGCAATTTACCAAATACAACGCATAATCGAGAAAGCGTAAAATGTAATCATGTAAGAGACATTACTGTCTAAAATTTTCAATTAAACAGTGAATAAAGAGACAGAGAGATGCCAAAACCCATAAAATACTGTGACTCCTTGTTCTAAAGAAGATGTAAATTCACATCAGATGGCAGCACACAAAAACCACAATCCAATATCAGCCAAAACTGAATCGAATCAATTGACAAAAGGACAAATATATTTCACCTGAAGAAGCCTCCAAGGCGAGTCTGGCCACCGGATGGGGTCTGCCACCTGTACAGCCGACACTGTCCCCATGAACCAGCTTATGCGCGAAGAGTCCTCCGTCTCGAACGCCATCTTGAACCTCATCCCCGAGCACCACCTCACCTGCAAGGCCGCCCTCACCAAACTCGCACGTACACAGAACTCCGGTGTGCTCGCCCGCGGATAATAAACTACGTCAAACTCCCGACCGCTCGCCGCACGATCCACCGCCTCAATTACGTCCTCGCCCCTCACCCTCCCTCTGCTCCCGATCAAACCACCACCATTTCCATTACCGTTCTCGTTCCTCCCCATTTTACCCTCGTCCTCTCTCAAGAACAACGACGAGAACCCCCCACCATAGTTCCAGCCCGAATGCACCTCAGGCCCACCGCCGGGCCCAATCCCCCTCTTGGCCCGTCTTATGCCGACACACAGGTCACCGTTCTCCG